TTCCATTCCACGGGATATTTGGTAAGAGTAGTTTACAAGATTTGATATATTCAATCCTATCTCTGGGTCACTCGCAGTCGTAGTCCAGGTTGCTTCATAAACATCTCGCTTGCCTCGTAAGAACTTTTGTAAACTCCCATGTGGTGCATATTCCAGAATGACAAGGATACGATCTCGCTTGATACAAGCACCAAGGAGGTTTACAATGTTTTTGTGTTCTCCAACGTAAATTAGAATTTTCAGCTCTGATGCAAGGTCTCTTACTTCCCCTGCAGTAGCTCCCCCTAAAGTGCCAAAATATCGTACTCGGTCAGTCTAGTGGAGTCCATGTGACCATGTCACAAGCAACGTTCAGTTTAACTGGGCACAAACCTCAGCAATAGGAATGAGCACGAACGGTACTCATGCATGAGAGCTAGAGGTCCTATGCGAATTGCCCACCTCACCCATGCTGAATCCAGGGGCATGGCTGGAGGTTTTTCCACTGGTAGGCACAGATTCCCAAATCAACCCTACCCCGTCTCCCAAATCATTACCGCGCAGGTAACCTGGTAACTCGTCCCCTCCCCTACATATTATCAGCTGCTACAGTAACTATATGCCAAATTCCTTTTTTTGTCCCCCTCCACCAACCCCCGACGAGTACCAGCCATCCTTGCTCCATGGTAAATGTTACACAAGTTGAAATAGAGATCTCTTGACTTGAAACATTACCTTTAACAGTCTTTACAGCTATGGTGGTCTTCGTGTACGCACTGCCTCTGGGATCGTGGTACGCATGGCCAGCCCTGTGTTGACGAAACATTTTAGGTCGCCGCTGACTTTTCCTTTGACTTTTGTCTCTGGGATTAAAGTTGTTTATTCCTATAGCCTCTGCTTTAATGACTTTTCCGAAGGCCCCTGATCCTAGCAACTCCCCAAGAATGAGCTTGTCCTCGCGAAAAAACGCGACCTCTGACCGAAGCACAACCAAATGCGAAATACGGTAGGCACCAAACCTTTAATTATTCGGTAACTTCTTGAGACAATATTGGTCCGGAATGTGTATAGATTTTTTAAATAAAGCTGAATTAAAGTATTAAGTGTCAAAAAGTCCACAAAGCGGTAAAAAATACAACAAAAGTCACGAGAAATCTGTTCTGTTTTCTGAATTTTACGCAACGATTTATGCGATTTAACGAATTAACAATTTTTAATCCAAAAGAAAAATAAGAAAGATAGTCACAATACGAAGTGTCATTATATTTTAGTAGCCAACTTTATTTTAAAATTTACGAGTTACTGAATATGACTCTAATTTCGCATGATTTTTGCCCATTTTAGGCCTCGAGAAGAAAAAAAATCGTTAAAAGAATATTATTCCCTCGATCGTACTTAAACCAACGATTTTGTAACTAGGGCCGATAGGGCTTTATTCTGGCTGAGTTTGAGGCCAGGTCATTTTTTGACTATTTCCACGTCTAGTTGATATTTACGCGGAGCCGCTCTTAAATTCACCCACATAGCGTTCTGCTAACCCATTTGTAGCAGGATGTCCGGGAGCAGTGAGAGTATGAAGGATGTCGTTCTCTCTTAGAAACTTTTGGAATTCATCACTCGTAAACTGAGTCCCATTATCTGTTACCAGATGTTCAGGTAAACCAAAGTAACTAAAAATGTGTCTCAAAGCAGTAATAGTGTTGGTGCTGGTGGCATAAGTCATCGGTAGTATCTCCAAAAATTTGGAATAACTATCCACCACAACCAAAAACATCTTGCCAAGATAAAGCCCAGCAAAATCTACATGTAATTGTTGTCATGGTCCGCCTGGCCAGGACCATGAAGCAGTTGGGGCGGAAGCTGGCGATTTAGGAAATTCTTCACAAGCAGGACATAATTTAACTGTCTCCTCAATTTGCTTATCAATTCCCGGCCACCAAGAGTACTTTCGAGCTAATTGTTTCATTTTAACCATACCCAGGTGTTCTGCATGCAAATCGGCCAACAAGAGGGCCTGTAATGACTCTGGGACAACAACTCGCGAGTTCCACATGAGGATATCATCTTCATGAGAGAGTTCAAGCCTTTTGCTGTAGTAAGGTTGGAACACTGGTTCCAGATTATTGGGCCAACCCTGCTGAGTAAACTGTAACACCTTTCCAAGAACTGGGTCTCTCATGCTTTTCATAGCAACTACGGATGCATTTAAAAACTGATCTTCTTCGATAAACATCACATTTACAGTTACCTGTTCTGCAGCAGACTGCTTGTATTTAATAGGCTTCCTAGACAAAAAATCCGCAAACACATTGTATTTGCCACATATGAATTCAATTGTATAGTCATAAGCAGCTAAAAGTAGTACCCATCTTTTGATCATTGCTGCTGCCAACAGGGTACGGGCTTGTGTTCCCCAAGTAAAGTAATCAAAGGTTTATGATCTGTTAGAAGTTTGAAGTGTCTACCTAACAGGTAGTGGCGATATTTGGTCCCGCCAAAAACAATTGCTAATGACTCACGTTCAATTTGGGAGTAATTTTGTTCTGCATTGTTCAGTATCCTCGATGCATAGGCAACAGGCTGTAACGCACCATCAGGTCCAGGTTGCAGTAATGCAGCTCCCACACCCACTGAAGAAGCGTCACACTGTAGAACTAATTCAGCCATAGGATCATAGTGACGTAAAACCGAATCAGAGCACAGAGCAGCCTTGATTTTATCAAAAGCGTCCTGTTCAAGTTTTGACCAACTCCATGGTACCTCCTTACGAAGTAATCCATACAAAGGTGAAGCCAACTTTGCATAATCCGGCACAAATTTACGTAGAAAATTGGCTGATCCAAGGAATGACTATAATTCAGAAACATTTGTTGGAGGTGCTACATCCTTTTATTGCCTGCACTTTCTCAGCAGTCCGTGAAATCCCCGCAGCAGAAATGCTAGTACCAAGATACTCTACTTTATCAAGCATGAAAAAGAATTTATCAGGGTTAAGCTTAAGACCGCAGTCCTGTAATCGTGTTAGTACTCGATGAAGGTTTTCCAGATGAACTTCATCTGTTTCTCCGGAAATAAGGATATCATCAATACGGACACAGCAGCCTGGAAGATCCTTAAGGACATTTCCTATAGTGCGTTGAAAGATTGACACAGCACTACTCACTCCAAAAGTCAGGCGCTTGTATTGGTATAAGCTCAAATGATTGTTAATTGTGGTGTATTTTCTGCTTTCTGGCGTAAGCTCTAGTTGATGGTATGCTTGAGAAAGGTCAATCTTAGTGAATTTTTTTCTCCCAGATAATGTACTCAGTAGTTCCTCCAGAGTTGTTATGGGGTATTGTTCTAGGACTGAAAATTTGTTGATGGTGACAGAGTAGTCCCCACAAATTCTCAGGTCCCCATTTGCTTTAATAGGGACTGTAGGTGATGCCCACTCGGAATGCTCTACTTTCTCAATGATATCCTCTGCCACCAATTTCTCCAAGGCCTTTTCATACTTAAACCAAATTGCAAATGGTACTACTCGTGCTTTGGTAAACACAGGGCTTTCATCAGTTACTCGCAATGACACCTGAATTCCTTTAAGTTTTCCCACTGAACTAGTGTCAAACAAATCAGAGTACTGCTGAACTATATCCTCAGCTGCAGTTGAAATCGTACTAAAAATGTTCTGCCAAGGTAATGTAAACTTGGACATCATGTCCCGCCCCAGTAGTGATGGTCCCTGAACTACACGAATTAACAGGGTACCCACCTGGTCTCCAACTTTGACATCCATTTCCCTCTCACCTAGACACTGGATAATTCCCCCAGTATAGCTTTTCAAAAGCACTGTAGGGGGTTTGAGTGTAGTTACTTGTCGTCCGGTTTTGGTAAAATCAGCAGAACTCAACAATGTCACAGAACTGCCCGTATCAACTTCCACAGGGACTTCCTGGACTTCAATGGTAACGGTAAGTTTGTATAAGGGCGGTGTAAATGACGAATTTTCAGAAGATTTCACACTTTTCATATAAACTGTACAAGAAGGGACTCGTGCTCCTCTTTGGTACATGTTACTGATGTTGGAGCAGCTATTACTTGGTGAGTGGTGTTGTTACCACCAAATTCTTTCTTTTTCTTGAAGCATGCCTTAGCCAAATGCCCAGGCTTTCCACAGTAATTACATGTAGATTCGACATGACTGCACTTGTCAGCCAAATGTTGTGGAGAGCCACACCAAAAACACTGCTTTCCCCCCATTTTTGACTTAAAATCTGTTTGCCTTTGGCTTTCTTGAGCAGGAAAAGATTTCTTGTAAACAGCATTTACAGGCAGAATTCCAGCACTGGAAGTGTCGGAGTTTCCCTGGAGTAACTTAGATTCCTTCTCAGCCAGTTCATCAGCCTGAGCGACCTTGAGAGCTTGATCGAATGTCCCATCACATGAAAGTAGTTTCTTTTTAGTAGTCTGGCTTCTCACTCCCCCAACAAATTGATCTCTGAGGGCTCTTGTAAGGTAAAGACCAAAATTGCAGTTCACAGCTAAGCGTTTTAGCTTGTTTGCATACTCCGCTACGCTTTCAGTTTCACTTTGTACAGTGTGATGGAAGCGGTAGGTCTCGGCAACTTCAAGTACCTTAGGTTTGTAGTAGTCTTTCAGAATTTGTGTAAGCTGATCGTAAGTTTTATCAGCGGGTAAATCAGGAAGACAGAGATCTTTGAGCGTACTGTAAGCTGTTTTACCGATCATGGAGATTGTAACGGCGACGATTTTCTTGTCTGCCTCTCGTTTAGCTGCTTCGCTGGTGTCAGCTGCAACTTGACCGATGTTATGTGCGATGAAGTAGGCATTCAATCGTTCACTGTAATCCGTAAAGTCAGCTCCATCGAGCGGTTCCAAAGTGCCAAATTGCTGTGTAGTCATAGCTGGCACTTTAATTCTTCATCCTCGTCGCCAGTTTTATGTACCAGGAAATTGTATATCGAAACACAGATAACTCAACAGTATTAAACTTCAAGTCTGTAAGCACATGGCAAGAAGCACCTACTGCGCATTCACGAAGCGCATAAGGATTCATGGGATATGACACCCCGACATGGGGACCAAAAAAGAGGGCAAATGCCCCGCCCTACTGCAGCAGTTTTCATTGATCGCACAGTCGAGTAGTGTCACTTACGGCATGTTTGTGTGCAGTTTTTCGTTCAGCTAACGTTCGCCTATTAATAAAGCTATCACAGCTAAGACCCCACGCCGGGACGACACCATTTATTAGTCTCACTTCATTATAGTTTTTATTTTTTTATTTTTTATCTCGTTGTAAATACTTTGTAGGAAAATAGTAGTTAATAGTAGTTTAATAATATGAAAGGAAGTTCTCTAAATAATAGACGAATTAAAATTTCAAGATATGGCAACAAAAATAAACTATTTTGAAAGAACGTTACGTGATAGAAACAAATGTGAAAAAAATTTTGGAAAAGCTCAATTGGTTTAGGAGATATAGCATCTTGAAATGTCCTTATTTTTCTAAGAAAAGTAACAAAATGGCGGGAAATGCAAAAATCAAAGCTTAATAACTCTCCAACCGATTGAGTTTTTGAAAAAAAAAATTCACATTTGTTTCTATCACGTCACGTTCTTTCAAAATTATTTATTTGTTTTGCCATACCTTGAAATTTTAATGTTGCTGTTAATCTTGTGACGTTATTTTCCCGCCAAAAACCGTTAAAATCGAAAAACAAAAAACATAGGTTTTTTTGGAATACAGAGTTCTACCATCATGCCAAGTTTGAGCTCAAACAAATAAAAAATGCAAAAGTAGTTACTACCTTGCAGCTTTTTGCATGTGTCCTGGCCCAGCGTGCCAGGTTCATTTGCAAGGCTGTCCCGAAGCAAACTCGGGATATATAGGGATGTTTTTCTGCAGATTACACCCAGTTCGATTGAAGTCATTTTCGGATATCGCAAACATCTTCTCTAAGATATTAGACTACGAGCAGTCTCTCTTTTTTCTTTGTCCGTCGAGCAAAACGCCCGAGCCACGCGCGTGACTGAAGTCGCTCGTTTCTCGCCTCTCGCGGCTTCGACGCTCAACACTTGCGCGCGCATGCACTCCCCTTACTAAATCTGAAGAAAAAGAGAGGCTGCTCACAGTCTACTAAGCTATCTCTGAAAACGGCTTTGCTACGGTGACCTTGGTGTATGATAAGTTGGTTTGTCTCAGCAGGTAAAGAACTCGTTAACTGCAGTCCTATCCTCAGAAAATTATTACTTACCTTTAGTCTTTGCGGATACCGTAACATAATTCCATTTGTCTCTATCTTTCCCCTGTTCATTCAACTCATTGACAGAGTAAACTCGAAACTTTAGGAAACTATCAGAAGGCAAGCCCCTTATAGCCACAGTATCATCTGTGATGTTGTCCTTTTTTGATTTATACTCTCCGCTTGGTCCACATGACTCCTTACAATCCTTGTATTCGCTGGACTTGCATCTGAAGCAATCTACAGAATATCTTAACTTTCCATCGCTGTTATCAGGTAAGCGTTGCCACATAATCTCAACATAAGTCTCTTTAACAACAGTGACATTTGCACTACGTGGTGCCTTTGGTAAAGCTGAGGGAGGATTGATTTGCATAAGTTGGCATAATTATTTGTTTGTTTGTTTGTTTTTTGTTTTTATTTTGCATTTATTTAAAACAAATCACATAAAAGGGATTTTGTCTTACAACTAATCTAGTCCAAATCTCCATATAATTGGGGATGGATGATCTCGGAGCTGGTTAGTGATTGGTAGACTCGGTGGGGCCAAACCACTCCCCAAATGTTGCATGAGTGCTAAATTTACATTTTTCTTGCGATTTTTGTTATTTGTTAACCAAATATACTCGATTGACTACGATTTGGATTTTTGTTAAAAGTAAAATCTGTGACGTCACGCTGGCTGACGTCACCAAAATAGGGAAAACTGTTTTTTTTCTACTTTTTGAGTCAAACTTATATCATCTGAAAGAGCATCAGAAGAGGGGCAAAACACCGAAAACCGCTTTTCGATACGACACGTATGAAGCGAGTTATGGGACGTGAAAAATATTTTAGTGCGCCCTCCCGGATCGATCCATAGTTTTTCGTAAAAAAACGATTGCTCTGGTATTGACAGTTTTATACAAAATAAGCAGATTTTTTGGTACCACAAACCTTTCATTGTGGACTAAAATCGTATGATTTTAAATTTTCATTTTTTGACTTAATAATGCTTATTAACCAGTACAAAAAAGATCACGTGACATTTTCTCACGTCACAAACTTGTTTTCCGGGCTTCTGCGCAGTTGGAAATTTCTTTTTTTTAAATGTTTGTCTTCTTTAGCTTTCGACGGTCAATATGTCTTATATGCAACTTAAATAGTGAGGACAATTTAACAAGAAAAAACTTAAATTTAGAGTTATTTCCCGAAGGGGGGTTCCAGGTTTTGTTCTACAAATTTACTCAAATTCAAACTGCGATATCTCAGCTCATATATGAGATGTTGCAAAAAAAAAATCAGCTTTCAACTCCCTTTTTTCAGATCTTTCAGAAAAAAAAATGGGAGATTCAAAAATTTAAATTTTACGTAAAAATGACGTCTGCAAACATGACGTCATAACTGGATATCTTAAGACATGAATATCTGAATATAGTAAAACATGCTAGCAACTAAATTGATTGGCCTAACATTTTGCATTTTCAAGTCAACTTTCGTGAAAAAAAGCTAAAAAGCCAACAAAGTTATTGTAAAACACACAACTACCCACGCACTGGCGCAACATTTAGGGGGTGGTTTGGCCCAACCGTGGAGAGTTAGACTGACCTCACGACTCTATTTTTCACTTACTCTATTTTCAGTCATGCAGATAGGAAAATGCATGCAACGCCCTTGCGGAGTCTGTCGGCATGTTTTCAGACAGTCGTGAAAAAAATAAAAATAAAAAAATAAATAAATAAAAGATCACTGCAACACCGCACCAAAAACAATAAGCGACACTGCAACACCGCAAATCCCCATGTCCCCCTCAATAAGCTAAATATTTTCAAAGACTTGCTTTATTCTTGCTAAATGAAGCTACCTCGAAATAGATCTTTAGAGCCGGAAAGTTCTAAATTATACCCTTAAAGAGCTTTCCTATCATTATAGTTATTGTAATTTAGCGTTTCAACGCCGGTTGGTTATGAAGAAAGAGCGGGAGGATTTTGGCCATTCAGAAACGGCGAAATATTTTGAGTAAATAATAAATAGAATTTTATAACTCGGGGATCTGCGATTACCTCTGCAAGGAGCTACATGTAATTCAGACTTCTTGTAGAACCCATCATTGCATAAGCAACTTGTTCTTCCAGGATTAGACTTTGAGTTTGCAGGACACTCGTCACATTTACTGTTATTTGCATCACTCTTGTAAAAGCCTCTACGGCACTCTTAAAAAGAAGATGGGTAAAAACATTCCTTAGCACTATGTGGCGGAGCCTTCGTTAGTTTACTGATTGATTTCAAGTCAGTGCATAGAAGGTTTGGAACAGCAAGGGTTTGCAAGCTTAATCTAATGAGCAGCAGCATGTCACAAAGTAAGTTGGTTTATGATCTTATAATTTGTAACCTATTACTAGTGTTTGCGTACTTGCAATTTAAAATGCTAAGGTTGAATAAGTGAATTGAACTAATAATAATTTAAATATTAATAATAATAATAATAATAATAATAATAATAATAAAACTTCCACCACCACACTTAAAAAAAGAGAAATTACGTTCATACCTCTGCATTCAAGGACATTTCCCTCAGATCCCTTGACAAGCTCATAGCCAGGTTTACAGAGGCATTTGATTCCATCAGTGATATTCCATTCTCCGTTACTGTGGCAAACGCCTGACAGTTTCACTTTCTTGATTGGGCTCACATCAGAACAACGTCCTGTTTGTTCCACTAGATAAGAGTCATTCACGGGAGCAGGTGTCCTTGGAAAACTCACCAAAACACTGCCAATCTCGGAGCAATAATTGTAGCTCACAATAACACTTCATAATGACAAACAGGCTCCTTGGTCTAAGAATGCAAGATACACACCTCCCTTTTTGGTTATGATTTTAACATCAGATTCATATGGCTCCCTTTTTCCAGGTGCAGGCAGGACTGTTGGCGCAATTGTTTCTACCTCTTCGTATGTTACTTCATTAGCTGTGAGTGGGTTTAAATCAGCTCCAATTAATTCTTTATCTACATGAAGCACATAAATGCTCCACTTGTGTTTGCAGAAAGAACTTGCAGTTGGTGGACATCGACGAAGGTTGTATTTCAGTTTAATATTCAGCATTTTGGCATCCTTGACGTCAATAAAATCTGTTCTTAGCCAGTTTGTTGGCTGGCTTGCNTCCACCACCACACTTAAAAAAAGAGAAATTACGTTCATACCTCTGCATTCAAGGACATTTCCCTCAGATCCCTTGACAAGCTCATAGCCAGGTTTACAGAGGCATTTGATTCCATCAGTGATATTCCATTCTCCGTTACTGTGGCAAACGCCTGACAGTTTCACTTTCTTGATTGGGCTCACATCAGAACAACGTCCTGTTTGTTCCACTAGATAAGAGTCATTCACGGGAGCAGGTGTCCTTGGAAAACTCACCAAAACACTGCCAATCTCGGAGCAATAATTGTAGCTCACAATAACACTTCATAATGACAAACAGGCTCCTTGGTCTAAGAATGCAAGATACACACCTCCCTTTTTGGTTATGATTTTAACATCAGATTCATATGGCTCCCTTTTTCCAGGTGCAGGCAGGACTGTTGGCGCAATTGTTTCTACCTCTTCGTATGTTACTTCATTAGCTGTGAGTGGGTTTAAATCAGCTCCAATTAATTCTTTATCTACATGAAGCACATAAATGCTCCACTTGTGTTTGCAGAAAGAACTTGCAGTTGGTGGACATCGACGAAGGTTGTATTTCAGTTTAATATTCAGCATTTTGGCATCCTTGACGTCAATAAAATCTGTTCTTAGCCAGTTTGTTGGCTGGCTTGCAATGGTTATGTCGCAGACTGAATATGTCTGGCTTGATAAAAAATTCCACTAAAAATAATGAAAGAGACGTCAAAAGGCATTGTACATGTACTTCCAGGGGTGCATGAAATAAGGCCCTTAGTGACTCCCGCCCTAACATCAAATTCTCCCTTACATCGTGTCATGCAAATCGGAGGGAGGATGTCGCTGTTCAACAGAAGTCGCTGGGGCTTTATCCCAAGCACCCGAGCAATTTACTTTTTCTACTAGAAACATCGTCAATTAATTTTGTACGGAAGAACTTGAGAGAAATAGTAAGAGAATATTTGATAGCTAAAAGTGGTAAAGTGCTTTCATTGCAACTTCCTAAATTGTACGTCAGGCCTCACTTTCTTGCACTGAACAACGATGTCAAATCTAATATAATGAAGCTTATCAAGAAAACTGATTAACAATCTAAGCAATCTAAGCACATGTACATGTAGAATCCAGCAACGCCTCAACTTTTGACTTTACTGGTAGCTTAAATGCACCAAAAAAAGGGAGAGAAAGAGTCATTATTATTTTGCGGTGCATTTACTGGGCTTCATTTTAGTGGGTAAATTTTTTCGGAAAGCTGAAAGGATAGAGCGCTTAGGTGAAAGGAAGGGCAACAAGGTTTTGATTTGAATTTCGGCTCAACTTTACATGGTGTTTGCGTTTTTCTGCGACCTGGGATTCCGGATTCCTTAACAAAATTTTCCAGGATTCCGGATTCCAAAAGCCAAAATTTCCCGGATTCCGTAATCCGAATTCCGAATATTGAATGGGGTTTCAATAATGTTATTTCGAAAAACGATAATTACATTATAAATACAGTGTATCCATTGTACTTTTTTCTTTTTTTTTCTTTTCTTTTTGGGTATGGAAATGCATACTCATAAAGTTGAAACAAAGGAAAAATAGAAAATTACCCTAAAAAAAAATATATAACATATTCATGGAGAACAGTGTGGAGATCATGTGTATTGATATTTGCCTAAATAGTTGAAATATCAAAAGGATGGGGAGAAAAAAGGAAGAGTAATTGTAATTATTTATTCAAGTTGATTTAAAGGGTTTTACTCACCCCTGCGCCATTAGTACTTTTCTTTGTGGTATGCCAACTCCAAAGTACACCAAGACGGGGTTGCTCAAGTAAAATTTCTGACAAATAACGCACAATAACAAACAACAATAACAAAATACAATCTAGCCCAAACTCTCTGGAGGTTTATTACAGCAAGAAACACATAATGACGATAATAATAATAATAAAAAATAATAATTCAAAGTTAATTACAATAAAAATAAAAAAAACTTTATACCTTTGAAATTTTTGACCTTTGAAATAAAATTTTATTCCTAGAACAATGCTACACCACAACAAGATAACACTTGCCATAAAATATCTTGTCATGTCAGATATTGAGGTAATGACATCAGTAGTTATGCTTCAGCAAACTTAACCGGACTTAAGGATTCCCTTTGGATTCCCTAACAAAAAGTGGATTCCCTTTATCACATATGCAGGATTCCCTGCTAAAAAGTGGATTCCTCCATACTAATTAAGTGCCCAGTAAGTGTCTATTCCTTGCCTTCCTGCTCACTACATTCGGTATAGGTTTACTAATGAGCGTCTGTCTACTACAATAGGCACAATAGACTTGCCTGGACTTGCCCGTTAAGTAACTTGAGCCCGGTTTGAACGTCTATTAAAACGAAAATAGAAATAAGAGAATCGATCACCTAGCAACGCAAAAAACGGCTTACTATATCTTATTTAACGCTAAAAAATCGAATATATATGAAAAAAAAAAAAAATCAAAAAACACACATTCACAAAGTAGAGCTGAAAACTCTTTTTTCAATTTTGTCTGACTATTACAAAACCGTTTCCACCTATCTATCTCAAGGAAACGACTAACTAATATATAGATTTAGCCAGGGCTAAAAGCGAAGCTCCCGTTAATAAATTCATAATTTAAATCAAACAATAAACTTGTAATCCACAGATCAGGGCACATTCATTTGACTTTTGAGGCAAAGGCTAAGTGATTTTAGAGAAAAATAATTTGACAGTCCAAGAGTGAAACAGCTTTTACATCGATTTATTAAATAGTCTTATTTGTACACCCAAAAGTAGCAATCATGTTCGATCACAGTAGATTAGGCCTGGAAAACAAATAGACCTACCTATTCGTGTATTGTATTTGCATTAGCTGTTGCATCATAATGTGGCATTCACCAGTCTCTCCACATTGCTCCGTTTGAGAGACTATGGATAATTGGATAACCCCGAAATATAATTTTAAGAAACACAGGCGCCACGATCGTCCTTGGTGGCAGCCAATTTACACGTTGCATTCCTGTGTCTTAAAGAGAGGCCTAAATAAAAAATGAGGCCGGATTTTTTGTGTTCGACAAGTTTAGTTTACTGGTAAATCTTGGCGACGAATTTGGTGGCGTGTAAACCATCCTTTTAAACATACTTTTTCGCATCACGTCTCAGGTAAACAGTACTATGAGGCCCTTTTTTTTATCATACAGACCTCGGACAGAATTTGTTCTTTTTGCCCTATTTAAACCTATAATTCTGCAGTTTTTCACAATTTTGTAAGAGAATTGGCACTCATTCAATATCCACGACGATCAAAGCACGAGCTTCCTTTGCACAACAAAATATAGCATTGAATTATAAAACGTTTTCATGAAGAGAATTCGGGACTTTTCAGTTAGAAAAATCTGGTCCTATGTGATATGCAGGGTAATAATTATGGGCTTTTAATGAAAACGATAAAAAAATTCCCAAACTCACTTTTCGGCCAGCCGGACGGGTCTCACTTTTGACAGGCACCAAATTTGCAGTGCGATTAATGGAGTTACCATTTACGCTTCAACATGACAGATAAATTGTTATGTTTAGGTTTTATTTCCCTTATTAAACTGTGTATGGTTTTGTTATGTGTAATCTTTAAAAGCGAGTAATATCTACGCGCGGCGTTTTGAGTATTCCTGCATGCGATGTTTATGTTCGACTGGAAACAACTGGTGCTGCGATAAAAATTGCAAGAGAGACTACTAACAATCAATAAAATAAATATAATTCGGTGAAACATGTACAGAGACAATAATTTTCATTCACGAAGAGAAGTATTGAGAGTAAAGTGTCTCTGAAAATCATTAGTCAGGTAAGCATAAGCTTATTTATGTTTTAAGCCGGCTTCCCGGTGTTGGCTCTTTTTCAAGATGAACTCGAGGCAAGAAAATCGCTCAGAGCTTTCTGTTTACAGCCAAAATCATAACCAAATAATCTTCGGAACCTTTTCTTTGAATTTGCGATCAAAAAATGTCTAAAGGCTTTTTAAACCTGATACTATTGTAAGTTAGATCATTGCTCGTGTATAAACTTAAGCCGCATAAACCATACGCTCGACTTCAGGAAACCGAAAAAAAAAAACACATCAAAGACAATAATTGCTCAGGCTTACCAGTCGAGATGCTGCTTCTGAAGGTCATCAAGTGTTCCAGAATCGCTTGAGACTTTTCAACCGTCTTACGCCTCAAGCAAGGGCAAGTGAGTAAGCTCATTTTTAAAAACGATGCCATCCGAAATCGGATTTCCAATGAGCTTCCAATGACTTTGACAAGCGGTGCATTTGTCCACAAAAAGCGCAATAAACAAACCAGCCATGAATTACAGAATAATCTTGATAGCAGTTGTATTTCATTTTGAACACCAAGTGGAAAAAGATAGTTTAAAACATCACAAGATGACACAAAACTCTGTCAGCTCCAGCTATCAGTAAGCAAGTTACCAGACGCTGCATAAATTTTCCGCATGAACTCACCTGTCAAATTTTGACCAATCAGAACATAAAAATTGGACGTAGAGCCTGAGCAACGCGTGACAGTAAGAAAAGTCAAAAGTAATTGCATTCCCTACATGTAAATGTAAAAGCCGGATGAATTTTCGCGTCCGAGGTCAGTTCGAAATCAACATTTTAAAAGTGCGGCTCATGAACACGACTTATTTCATATGCATAAAAAAAAAATTGAATTTGAGCCTGCGATAATTGAAAAGTAGCAACTTGTCAGCGGATACCCTCAAAAAAACACTCGAACTCTGTGGGTCGATATCTGAGCCCGCGATAGGGTTAGGCGCTACTGCTCCCCAGATCCCAGAAACACTATTTTGACAGCTGTCAATTAATCAAAACATGGATGTACAATATCAGGTTGCAGGCTCCCAAACTAGCTAGAAAGTGTGAGATTAAACATTGGTATGCCTGTGGTGCAGACGGACTGAAGGTCGGGTGGTCGGTGTACGGTCACGCGATTGCCGAATTTTCTAAGATGGATAGATTTTCTAAGCTATGGGGCTTCGAATTGAGCCCGTGATCAAATAAAATATCAGCGCAAAAACTTTAAACACTACGTGACCTCAATGGATAGACAAATGAGCCCGCGATACACTCAGGTGATGATGGTCAGCGTATCCTCTAGTTTGACAGCTGTCAATTAACCTTCACTAGAATGGCGAATATTCGAATTAACAGACTACGAGTGTGAGTAAGACATATCCGTTCGGCATATAGTGGAAAATGCCAGATCGTGTACATGAGCGAACCTGAGCCCACGTTATTAGTTTTCTGATAGTGGTCTGCACATGTTCCATTTTAACAGTTGTCAATTGACCTTAATTGTGCTTGCAAATATAACTTTAAACGACTGTCAGCCAACAGCCTTGCCCGGCGTAGTTTAATTTTTATGTTGAATTGGTTAGTGTGACATATTATATCAGCTTATATGTAGGGGCAAAACGACTGGTCTTTCATCTGAGCCCCCGAGATGGTCATGTGATAATTGTCAGCGGATGTCTGATTTTGACAGCTGTCAATCTAATCGTACTCATACGGATGGCTTACCTAACTACTTGCTAGTTGTGCAAGATCTATTGTGACATTTGACATCCGCTTACATGAAGAGTGTGTACGGGTGGGCGGGCGGGCGTACGCTACGTCATAACCAAATTTTCTCGGATGAATAGTTGACCAAATTTTCTTACGCATGGTGCTTTGCTGCGCGCGCTTCGCGCGCCCGAGGAGCTCCGCTATTAAAGTCTTGTAATTTTACGCACCGTTAGCCAGTTAACTATGCGAGTTCGCAAGCCCATAGTTGAATACAAATTAGTTCAGCTCAACAGGAAAAACGCCAATGAAGCATCTTGACGTATTATTGTAAAAACAATGTAAAATAACTTAACAAGGATCAATTGAAACACGCGATTAATAATTGCTAGCAATAAAATCAAACACGAGATACCGACAAAAAGAGTCAAATAGAAAGCGATTTGAAAGGAATGGAAATTAATTAATCCTCTTCTTCTTTCCCCTCGTTCTTCTCTTTCGTTTTTGTGTGTAATTGCTCCACAATTGTGACACCGAAGAAAGCCCTCTTTGGTGTAATCTCTCTCCTCGGGGATCTGCTTATCGCATATTGGACAAATCTTGTAGTAATCGTGCCAAAAGCGTTTTGGACATTCCATGATCAATGTTCCCTACACATTAGAGTTCTCACAATGTTCACAGGGACTTTTAGAGTGGAAGATGGGGAAGGTTTCAAGGCTACTACTTTCTGTTTCTTGACTGTCGTTTTCTTGACTGTTTGTGATTTACATAAATAACTTGCCAAATGTGCTTAACTCATGCTACGCGTCACTTTATGCAGACGACACTGTAATTTATTGCTATGGTACAGCCTCAAAGGATTTGAGTGATAAGTTAAATAACGATCTACTGGGTGTGGCGAAATGGCTTCATGATCACAAACTGACTTTAAATTTGGACAAAACTAAATGCATGCTTATCGGTAGTAATAGGAAACGCGAAAGCAAAGTAGATTTGACTGTTTCAATTTTAGATCATAGTATAAGTAATGTTCGCAGCTTTAAATACCTCGGTATACATATATCTTCGGATTTCACATGGACTGATCATATTGAACACCTAACTGGGAAAATCAATCAGAGGCTTGGGCTTCTCAAGCGTATAAAGCATTTATTGCCTTTCAGGGCGCGTCTACTTTTCTATAAAAGTCTTGTTATGCCCCTTTTTGAATATGCTGATCTAGTATGGGGCGATAAACATAATATTACCCTTATGTCTAGTTTGCAAGTTTTGCAAAATAAGGCCGCTAAAGTTATTTTAAATAGACCATTGTACTCATCCCCCACTGACGCATTAGCCGTTCTCAAGTGGCTGCCTCTAGAAAAAAAAGGCGATTTCAAAGAAGGTGTGTACACGTATACAAATGCATCAATGGCCTAATTAATCACAATATGGACTTGATTAGACAAGACGTACCTCATAGGCATAATACACGTGACAAAGGCAATTTTAGATTACCACGTGTCAAAAGAAATTGGGGGAAGCAAAGAACACAATATCATGCCGTTTCCGATTTTAACTCCCTCAGTCAGACGATCAAAGACTCAAGGAATGTAAATAGTTTTAAACGTAATGTTTTTTAGTTTTTAATATAGCTACTTACGTTTAATTTTAACTTATACTTATTTTTAATTTTTTATGCATTTTTTGTATCTTTTTAATCCCTTTGTAATTTTATAGCTTTTTTTGTTTTTATAATATATATCTAGTTTTGAGGTCCTTTTTGAAAACCATATCTTTTATGAAAAAGTTTCCTCAATAAAGATGATTATTATCTTTCAGTGCCGTTGTCACTCTCTTGGGTGCCTTCAGCTTCACTGCCATTCTCAGAAGCCACTTCCTCCTCCTCCTGATTTTCAATATCCGATGAACTCAGTAGCAGTTGGCAGTCTTTTATAGAATATCGTGGAGAAAAAAACAAATGAAACGAGTGGGCAAAGGATAGAAAACAATAGAAATGTGGTGGAGGTGGTGTTGGTGGAGGGGGAAAACAACAGAAATGTGGTGATGGTGGTGGTGGTGATTTTCACTATCCGAAGAACTCTCCTAATTATTACTCTCGTTCTCGGAAGTATTTTCTGCATTTCGGTAGCCTTTTTCCTTTTCTTTTAAATTGCGTAGCAACTTTTTGTTCTTGATTAAACCTTTACTGATCCCTAGCTCTCCAAGTCTTTCTAGAAACGTATCTAGCACACGAGACGTGGTAACTTCATTGTTATGAGGGAGTGACTCATACTCAACTAGCTCGGCGATGCTTGTGACGGGAATTATACGTTTACAGATAGACTTCGGGAGTTACGGATAGAGAAAGGTTTAATCAAGAACAAAAAGTTGCTAAGCGATTTAATAGAAAAGTAAAAAGGCTACCGAAATGCAGAAAATACTTCCGAGAACGAGAGTAATATCGAGGAGAGTTCATCGGACATTGAAAATTAGGAGGAGGAGGAAGTGGCTTATGAGAAAGGCAATGAAGCTGACATTTCCATTTATTTAGTTTCCCTCCACCACCGCCACCACATTTCTATTGTTTTCCTCCTCCCTCAAAACCACCGCCACCAAATTTCTATTGTTTCCCTCCACCACCTCCGCCACCACATTTCTTTTGTTTTCTATCCTTCGCCCACGCGTTTCATTTGTTTTTTTCTCCACGATATTCTATAAAAGACTGCCAACTGCCATCATTGGTTCAATTTGTAGCAATGTCTCGTGTAGTGAACAACAATCGTGGTGTTCTTCAGCTGTTAGCTGATTGCCCTGCACATCAGCGCCAGTTTCTTTTAAAGATAGCTACTCCACAACAACTACATGCACTAGTCCAAGTCTTATCGAATATACTTATGGGAAACATTTCAATCTCCGAAGAAAATAAGCGGATATTGCAGACATATAAGGATTATTTACTTGACCTGGCCAGACCAAATGTCCCTTACAAAACAAAGAAGCGAGTTCTTGTACAAGAGGGTAGTGGTTGTGTTGCAGATTAGTTGGTCCCTGTTGTTTCAAGCTTAGGATTTCTAATGCTATAAAAGAGGTGACGCATCGCACAGTTGATCATTCGAAGCTACGTCTCCCACCGGTACTCATCAAAATGAAGACACTGATAGATTTGGTTGAAGACGAGAACGAGAGTGAACACGAAGAAAGCGAAAGTTCTGGTGATGAAACCGAAGATGAAGAACCAAGAATAAAAGATGTTTTGAGTCATCCTTCCCGAGCGGTGTCGGAAAAGCGTACTTCTGATTTGCTGCATAGTATGGCCGCTTCCAAAGATATTCTTTTCTGGTCGCCACGCGGACAATTACTTCGAAATAAACGTATAATTCCCGTCACAAACATCGCCGAGCTAGTTGAGTATGTGTTACTCCCTCATAACGATGAAGTAACCAAGCCTCGTGCGCTGAATACGTTTCTAGAGGGACTTGCAGAGTTAGGGATCGATAAAGGTTTAATCAAGAACAAAAAGGTTGCTAAGCGAATTAATAGAAAAGGAAAAAGGCTACCGAAATGCAGAAAATATTTCCAAGAACAAGAGTAATAATGAGGAGAGTTCATCGGATATTGAAAATCAGGAGGAGGAGGAAGTGGCTTCTGAGAATGGCAGTGAAGCCGTAGGCACCCAAGATAGCGACAATGATACTGAAAACGACAGTCAAGAATCAGAAAGTAGTAGCCATGAAACGTCCACCATCTTTCACTCTAAAAGTCCCTGTGAACATTGTGGGAAACTCTAATGTGTACGGGACATTGATCATGGAATGTCCAAAATGCTTTTGGCACGATTACAACAAGATTTGTCCTATATGCAATCACCATATCTCCGAGGAGAGAAATTATACCACAGAGGACTTTCTTCGGTGTCACGATTGTGGAGCAATTACAAACAAAAACGCGACGACATTGGAAACCAATTTCTATTCCCCTTCTAAACAGGAGAACGAAGAAGAGGATTTATTAATTTCCATTCCTTTCAAATCGATCTGTATTTGACTCTTTTTGTCGTTGGTTTTTAATAAAGTTTTAAAACGGTATCTCGTGTCTGATTTTATAAATTATTAGTTGCGTATTTCAATTGATCCTTATTAAGTTATTATAATAATATGTCAAGATGCTCCCTTGGCGTTTTTCCTGTTGAGCTGAACTAATTTGTATTCAACTTTGGGCTTGCGAGCTTGCATGATTAACTGACTAACAGTGCGTGAAATTACAAGACTTTATTAGTTAGTCGTTTCCGTGATATAGATAGGAGGAAACGGTTTTGTAATAGTCAGACAAAATTGAAAAAAAAAAAAGAGTTTTCAGCTCTACTTTGTGAATGTGTGTATGGTTTTGTTATATATCCGATTTTTTTAGCGCTAAATAAGATATAGTAAGCCGTTTCTCGCGTTGCTAGGTGATCGCTTCTCTTATTCCTATTTTCCTGTTAATAGACCTTCAAACCGGGCTCAAGTTACTTAATGGGCAAGTCTAGGCAAGCCTGTTGTGCCTGTTGTAGTAGAGAGACACTTATTAGTAAACTTATACCGAATTAGTATGCAGGAGGGCAGTGACTAGACATTTCCTAGGCACTTAATTAGTATCGAGCAATCCACCTTTTACTAGGGAATCCTGCATATGTTATGAAGGGAATCCACTTTATGCTAGGGAATCCAAAGTTTGCTGAAGCATAACTACTGACATCATCAGTCGCGTGACTATTTCCCAATTAGCTTTTTGTTGCTGTGATTAAGAGACTTCGTTACCAAGGTTAAAAATATATAGCATATATCAGGTTTTGTTTCTGTGGCGCATTTAAAAATAACCAAACAACTGAGGATCGAAAGGTAGACTTACGGAAGCAGTCTACTGAAATCTGTGCGTGTAAAGAAACCAAAAACGTTCACCCCAAACATAGACAGCAGCATTTCCATCTTTTTTCTTTCTTTCTTTTTTTATTTCCAGTAGTTCACTTATTTTTGGTCTCGTAAACTCACAGTCTACGAGGAACACGAATTGACCCTCCGATACATTTGAACGGTTTGACCTGTATATAGTAACACCCGATCCTTGTTTGCTCGGTAAACATGCTATGGCGGATCCAATTCGATAGAATCAGGTTATTCCCAACAATTTATAATAATACGATTTAAATACTCCATTCGAAGCAAAATTCTACTAAAATCGCCGTCGTGGCAGGGATCTAAACGCCCCAAAGTTTCTTGTACAAAAGCATGTGCAAACTCTGCCGAAATGTCTGCCGCAAAGCATGATGGACGAAAGAGACGAAACAGCGCGGGTGTGAAGGTCCATCATTCCCTCCCCCACAAAGTCTTCTCTTGTCTCCACCAATGATCACTAAATCGTGGACGTGTAGTGGTACTTATCTTGAAGTGTTATTATATTACTCTCAAGGTTATGCGAAGCATTATGGGATAATTATTCATACTTCCTAAGTATATTCCCCCATTCGGAAATGAGAACTGATGCCATGGTGGCAAATAATTTTCTCACTTAGAGAATTCAAGGACTGCAAAGTGTGGTCAATATGAGGTCGTCGATGTCGAGATGGCCGTCTTTTCCATGGGGACTTTCGTCCAAAAAAATTAGTTACTTCCTTGTGATCAGGAAACGTTGGTTCAACCGCTATGGAGTCACCGTTTCGGTTCGCCGTTTCTTTAGGAGACATGGTTTGAGCTTGGCCACGTGTAGGTTGTTATCACTACACGACAGAAAAACACCCGACGCTCAAATAGGCTGAGAACAGCTACCCAAGATTAACAAAGTGAAAACGAGAACGGGAAAAGGATAAAACCAAAAAATGAACAAGAATGAAGTAAAATCATTGGGTAGTAATGACGTTTCTATTGTTTACACCCGCAAATAAGAGATGGTTAGGATAAAAAAAACAAACAAACAAACAAACCAAAACAAAAAAACAAAAAAAACAAGGAAAATCCCCGAGGGGACTTCTTACGTTGATTTTGTGGCACTTATTGTACAGTGATACTTCGATACTCTCTTGAGTTACGTATTATCAGTGACATTCGATTCTGTGGAGCAGCTGTTTTGAATGTTATGGACCAAAAGACACTCGTTATAAGCGCGGATGATTTTATAGCGTGGGAGTAACTGTGAATGTATATAAAAACTTGGAGAGTTTTCCAAACATTAGTCTCTCATTCACAAACCTATGATTGGAAACAATTTGTCAGACACTTGTTCTCTCTCGTTGAGGGAATAAGACTTAATCCACATCAAGCAAGATGGGTAATTTAACGGCTAGCTTATCACTAGCATAACGATGGACGACTACAGAAATTTGCCGACAGTTAAATTCTGTGCCTGACGAATTCCCTGATCACAAATGGCCTACGTCCTTCTATAAAGTTTTTTTTTCTTTTTTTTTAAGCAAAAAACATTGTCCTAGTGACTAGAATACGCGAGCGTGAATCGATCAAACCTTTGAATTTCTAAGGCTCAGTTCCCGACTAATAAAATGAATTGTATGTAAAAAGTGAAAGAGAAATAAAGGGCAGCTGTAGTGCCAACCATTATTATAGTTATTCCATTAGGTGGGACATATCGAAAGATAATTTAAAAATTGAGTTGAAAAGTTTAGAATATGAGACGCGGCGAGTGGGAAAATGCGCCGAGTGAGTAACGAATGCAAAGTTCGTACAGTATCTTAGTCAAATGCCTGTTCAAGCATCAAAGCTAATAAAAAGGAGCAGCGTATATTAAAAAAAAAGTTCGGTGTTTAGTTTAATTCACTACATCGAGTTGGAAATTGCATGGTTCAATCTGACGAAGCAGGTTAAAAATGGGGCAGTGTAATACGCAGACTGGCATGAAGTGGGGACTATTACGTACCCGTACGAAAAGTGCATCGCTCGTCTAGCCCTGCATTAGCGACTCACCAGGGCTGCAAAAATGGCTGCAGGAAGGCTGCATGTAACCTCCCACGCACGCGTTTTTAAGAGAGCTGGTATTTCGTCCCTCCACACAAACGTCTGCTCAACCGAGAACAACATTCCTTTCCAAAGCTTAGCCAATCACATTGTACTTTCCAAATTACGGAAAGTTGACCTTGCATTGACCGCAGGGTACAAACACTAGGAAAGCTTTATGACCTCTAATAACTGCTACACTCAGTGCGGTAAAAGCAAGATTTAGTGAGATTTTAGAATACTCCGTGCGCTGCATAACCTTGGGGGGGGGGGGGGGGGGTAGACGCAATAAAACAACACAATAACTAAGGCACCGTAGTTGTAAGATATCTAGCGATACAGTGGAAGAGAAAATAAGTAAAACGGTAACTCTAGGGTCACGTTTTTACAATATATAGTGCTTATGAGTCGTGTTTAGCCTGTCAACACTTTATTTCAAAACTGTTGATTGTTCACCTACCACGCAAATAAAACAAGAGGAAAAATGTTGTTCTGGGTTGAGCAGGCGTTTGTGGGGAGGAACGAAATACGAACTCCCCTCAGAGATTTGACCTTTATCAGAATTGTCTATTATAATTTCTCGAAGGCTGGGTAGTTTTCCTCGCTGTTTTAGAATACTCAATGAGTACCTAACTATTGAGGTGCTCTCTTCCTGCCTTAACATAAAATCTTACTAAATGATTTAAAATAATCAAGCTTAATTCGTCGTGACAATATCTTCATATTCCAATCTTTAGCTTAACTTACTTGTTTATAATTTCGTAGTAAAGGAAGGCAATACTGCCACAGAAGCGCTTTCCTCGCCTCCCTCCGCTTCATGTTTGCCAAGCACACGCACCCAACCCGATGTCTAAGCACCAAAAGTAGCTACATTGAAATGCCATTCCCGAGCCAAAATTATCTCCAATATAGGTAACTTATACATCAAAAGAAAGGAAATTTCCCGTAGTTTTCAATTCCGGCGGTGCATTTATAATACAGACATGCGCAAATGAGATTTTGCAATAGATCCCGCACGTCGTCGTTTGACGAGCCAAAATGCTCTCTAAAATGAGTCGAACACCTAAAATATAAGCTGAAAAACCCGAACGAAAAAAATGTTTAAATTCATTTAAAGTATGTTTGGCCTTAAGCTAAGACATTGAATTTTTAAATTCCGGAAGTGTATTTGGGATTTCTTTAATAGCGTGAGAGTAAAACTGAAAAAGGTTCCAAAATTACGGTCCATTCGAGTCAGCCATACTTTGGAGCGTGGTCGTGAAATTCAATATAAGAGTATTTGTCCGGCAGACTTTGATATGTGCTTGTTCTTTAAAAACGTTTTCACTTTCATCAAACAGGGGAACCCAAAGACGGTTTCCCCCTAAAAGCATTGAAAACATATTTTGGGCAATCCAGAGTACTTTTAGTTCTCTAGAAATGCATTCTAAGAGGCGCTACAAAATTGTATCTGTTCGGTCGTCCTAGGACGGTCTCAATGGGGTGGTGGTTTTTACGGTTATCGGCTAAAATTTTGGCTCTTTTACGGCTATCGGTTAATTTTTTTCAGTTACGGTTAAGAAAAAAGTAAAAAATTAATTTCTTTTGTTTCAAATAGTTAAATATTACTTAT